CCCCCACCCACCTTAAAATTCCTCTTTATCTGTCTTTTGTGAAGTACTGATTCCATGTTGTATGTATTGTTTGATGTGCATAGCATCCATATCAAAGGTAAAGAAATATGCCAATACCTCATCTATTCACTTCCCTGCCCTGCTCAATCTCCAACCTTATCTCTTTCATAGCTGCTTCGGATTTTCTCATTTGGATTGATCATAGTTATATTGTGCAGATGGTAATGCTTCCATATTTCTTTCACAAACAGATAAGAAAATGGGCTACCAAGACTACCCAGCGTCTAACTCGCGTATCCTCAGACGATCATGACATGATCAAAGATGCAATTAAGTGGATGGTTGGGGTCATCACTCTAAATATGTTTGACAACGACATCCTCTTGTTGGACGAGCATGACATCTCCTCTTCTGCTGCATACCTCCCTTCTCATCTTTGTGACCTCAAGTGCCCTTTAGAATTCTGGAAAGGCTTTACCAAGTTGCTATTAAGGCTGGAGGGAGATGTACTTTGTTATAAAGTCTTGGGTTTGTCTGGGTACCGAGACTTGCCTGACACTTTCTTGAATGCAATTGAAAACAAAGGTGATTTATCCACCATTTTGAAATAAGAAAAGAGATATGTTAGCTATCTAATCAAAAGCTAATGAGTCATGCCTTTTTTATATACTTATTTTAATCAAGTTATTCATCTAAAGACATTTCATGAAAAGGGGGTAACTACAACTTGTTAATGACTTATGTCCGTTCATTCATACCAAGTACTTTATAGAAAATATCGTATCAAAGAGACCTGACACATGACTGGCACACACACAGCGGATGAAGATCAATATATTAATGTTTGCTTTTTCATTTTCACGTGACTTTGATTGTAATGCTTAGGCTGCAAGTCCTTGTTCTGGTCAGCTTTCACTTGCCTTGTGATCATCCTGGAAAGATGTGGACCACGAATCTGGCCCATGGTTACTAAACAACCATTGCAGGTGTTCGACATTATAACGTCCCACAGCGTGTACTGTGAAGAGCTTAATAGGTACAAACAGGGTCCCCAGACAGATGAACAAAATGAGCAAGGAGGCTCACAGGTAAATCAGTGGTTTGAAATTGTCATCCTTGAACCAAACGTGCATGGGTAGAATGAGGCTCTGAGGTCGACAATGGGCCGCGGTGAGCACGGCTGGGAGTGGGGGGGGGGGCATAGGTGGCGTAGCGTAGTTTCTAGTTTCTATTCTCTCTCGTGTTACGAGGGTTTGTCATATGTGAATAGAGTTTTAGTTTGTTATCATCTTCTGTGCTTCGAGGCTTTTCTCTAGTTTTTTCGGTTTCCTCCCTCTGCAAAAATCACCTAAATTTCAATACGGTCATGGAATAAGGACGATTTCTTTAAGCCTGCGCTTTTACCTACAGCGGTTAATTCATTTTCAGCATTTTTACATCTGAAATAAAAGAATGTGACATTGTTAACCAGGTAGAAGTCAAGAGAAAAGAGATAAGGAAAATGTAAGAGCTGCTTTCAAGAGAAAATCAACAAGTAGAGCGTGAAAGCTAGTTTTTGATTTTCATTTTCAGGATATTACTTCAGGTGACATTCAGCGTGGTTCTACTAATACATCTATTGGCTGGTTTCAACCTTTTGTTCTCTCAGTCCTTGACTATGGTGAAGTGGCGGTGGATTGTGTTACGAAAGTCATTCAATTTCTCGACACGCTTTCAGGTAACAAATGTTTTTGAATTACACAGGCAGCCCAGGCAGGTAAAAACTCGCTTATTTAATAACAGGTGGGGTTCACACGATGCAATGATACTCAAACCCTTTTCCAAGTCAATATCCTTTTTTTGACATTGCCTAGGCAATATTAGTGGTTTTACGTTAATGAAAATGGGTGCCCTGTTTTAAATCAATATTCACGGGCCATCAATGTTAACGATCCAACTTTTCAAGTTGGGCCGCGACTAATATAAAGTTMACTCAAACGACGATCAGTCAATACAGAATTACTAGAAATCTTGTTGTAAATATTCTAAATATTCGCATTGTTTCAGGTCAGATACGCAAGAGAGACATCATTTTCAAGCTGTGTAATATTGTCTCTCGTGTCGTAAACAGTGGGAGAATGTCAGCCCTCCTGCCTACAGCTGATATATGGGTCACACATCTAGTGAAATTGTCCAGCTTGGATGTTAAAAACCAGGAGGTATTAACGTTAAATTGATATCAGTTACACCTATTCCAAAGARAAAAAAAATAGTTTGAAGCATTAAAACTTTGCGTGGCTGAAGGACGGTGATGGAAGGAGGGTGAGAGAGAAAAATTATTCCATTTTCTAATGAAAAGGATCATTTAAGAAAAACCAAAGATAAAAAGGGATACTGAAAAAAAGCAAACATCTAGCTGTATTTGTTGGTAGCAATCAGCTGAACGAATCTCTCAGTGAATGTCATTACTATTCTTCGTATGTTTCTGTGATATTCAGCGGGTACAACATCTGCTCGAGAACGGAAATGACGTCTATATCATGTAGCGGGGGAAATATTCTACTAGCAGCATATTATGCAAGGAAATTCGCGACATGAGATTATTATTTTTTCCTTTTTGATTAACATGTGTAATTGAAGCCAGCTGTACACATTCTTTGACCAATAACGAGTCGTTACCAACGACTTGTTGGCTGTCGGTCATTTTAGTGTAGTGTATTTTAGACGTTGGCTCAAATAATGCGTTATCGTCGTAAGAGCGTGCGCAGTAGCTTCATTTGCCGTAGAGGAAGGAATATGTCTGAATATTTGGTTTTGCGGGATGGCGTTTTGATCTAGTCCATAAAAGTCTCACTATATTATATCAAATTGGGCTGATCCTGGCAGTATATCAAGCAACTTATGCAGCTCATGCAAATTTAAAGACTCAGAAAAAATTCTTACTATATTATTAGTTTGCTAACATTTCTACTTTATATTTTCTTTTTTAAAAGGTATTTCGCAACATGGTTTTGCCTGCTCAGGAGATAATCTCTAGTATATTCACCAAAGCTGATGACGGAGCTGGACGGTCAGACCTTGATTTTACGAAACTTAAATCAGAAACAGAAAGACAAAATCTCGTTGGAAGTCTGCTTAATCATTTGAAGGTTTGTATTATAGCTAACATCATCATCATCGCTCTTTAATAATAATAATAATAATAATAATAATAATAATAATATTTTACGACCACCACTCCCCATACGGGGCTCTTCTGTCGTGAGGTTCTTTCCACACGCACTACCGCTACGTTCTATATTTACAACATACAACACTCAACTCACATGTTGATTTTTCATGGAGGTAGCATAGGAGAGAACAACACATCAAACAAACTCAATTCACATGTGGCCAGAAAGCACATTGAGGACGTATTATAGACCAAATTCAAAACTCGCACCGATGTGAGGCTTAAGTTGTGAGCAAAGGGATCTGGCGTGACTCAAAGTAATCTGGCGTCATTCAAAAGTCACGAATCACGCCAGATTCCTTTGTTCACAACTTAAGCCTCACATCGGTGCGAGTTTTGAATTTGGTCTATAGTCAACAAAAATGAGTAAATCGACCCAGTCAGCTGGAGTGATATGTTTCCCATGTCTTTTTCTTGAGTATTGTTTAGCGCATGGGATTGTGAACGGAGGAATTAATTAACACTTATTGACTGGGACCGAGGAAAACTCTGTGTTTTGTGTTCCCGAGAGGGCGATGTTTCACGAGGCGAAAACTGCTTCTCGAGGTGCCAGTCAATAAATGTTTTGTTGTATACAAAATGTTAAAGAACACAAAGCAATTTTTTAATTATTTGATTATTTGATTTTTAAAAAGTTAGGAAAACTTGCATTTCTGGGGAAATCATTTCCGGTATTGTTATTACCGCCGGTCAACTACTTTTTGTTGCCCGCTGAGAGCCGTTGCCCGGGAAACATCGAAACTTGTTCACGTTCACGTGATACCCTATCGCCCAATCAGGGTACGAGAAAAATGGACTTTGACAGTTGGCATATAACAATAATTATTATTACTACAGACGGGAGGGAACATTACGAAAAGGCTGCACAAAACACAACTCATCTTCTCGTTCTAGGGAAACATAAAGAAACCTCCAAAGTGCAAGAAAGAAACCGGTTGCCATACCATGACTAAAAGTGTTTCCTACCTAAGGAAATCCAAAAACCCTCTGGTGCTTTCTGCGCCCAAAGATGTTAATGAAGGTACTCCACATTATGAAGAGTCGACTCCTAAGAAAGGCTTTAAATTAGGGTCGCTTACGATTGCGCTTACTGACTTCAAGAAAACCCAACAGGCAATGGATTCCACGCAATTAAACTTCACATCCGCTTTATCGAGACCCAAGTCTCTCCCTAAAAGAGTTACACTTCCTGCCACATCAGAAACTTTGCGTACTTCTACCTTGTCTTTTCCAGATATAGCGTCGGAAGAAAAACTAAAAACTTCAGTTCACTCCATATCGTCTTGTTCGAGCACAACTTCTGAAGTTATGTCAGTAGTGTCTGTTATGCCATCAGGATCGATGATCACGTCTTCGACTACATCACTTTCCAAAACCGATAATACAGCAGCTAACGCAGGTGTATTGGACAAGACACTCAACAAGCTTTCAGTATCCCCTGACAATAAAAACTCTTCATCAAGAGGCGGAATCGACGGCACTTTCTTTAAAGAAAAAAATGTCGGTGAGTGGGATGCCCTAAATAATCAGGGGTACCATTTAAACCAATCCATCCGGTTGAAAATTCATTTGCTAATCGTTTTTTCGGATAAATGTCAAGCACACCAGACAAACGGTACTTGTGCACGCGCCTACTGGAAGAACCGAAAAGAGCGGAAAAAGAGGATAAACTCAATCAGGGATGCTTACCATCAACCCCGTGGAAAAACCGGAAATTCTAGTGTGGTTGGAAAACAAATGGTATATATCATTCCGATATGAAAGTTCTAAAAACTCGGTCTTCCGATTGAGGTAATCCAATTTTCCCTCTCGTTGGAATGGCACATACTATTAGTTTTTTCAAACTGAATTTCGGTTTTTGCGCGCAAAGGGGAAGGACCCCTTGTAGTTACGAGAAAACTCAACTCCATCTTACTAGCAACTTACCACCTGATGTCCCATGGCGTCTTTGACTCGCGTTGGTCTTAGTCCGCATACAGCCATATGCCATTAGACACCAAAGAATTTCTTTTACCTCTTGCCTTTTTTCCTTGGTAAGTGCTGTTCGAGACAAAAATCGTGACAGGGAAATCGTTCAATATACTACCGTCATGAATCAAATAGAGTATGTAAAGCTAAAGGTACATGAGRACCGTGAGAAAGTACATGGGAAATATCGAGAGAATATGAACTAAAAGAAGGAATCCCCACACCCCATCATAAGCACTCTGATGCTATTTTTAGAATCATTGATCCCATTTTTAGAATCGTTCATTTAATCGTTTGTTTTTCTGCGTTCTACTCTGTTTGCTCATGTTTTCATTTTCTTTTTGATTAAACGTAAGCAAACAGMGTAGAGCGCGCGCAGAAAAACACGATGGCAAATGTGATTCTAAAAATRACAACAAAAAGTCGGTGCCTATGATGTTTACTAGCATGAATACAAGAGATTCCTTCTCTTAGTTCTAAATATATATTTGATTGAAGATAGCCCCATTTTCCTGTCGCTGCTTTTGTCTCCATCGGCGCGTAGCAATGAAAATAGTGGTCAGGCGTCTCTTCTGTTTATAAATGCATGACAAAGCAAAACTTATATAAACAAAACAAAAAGATCTTTTTATTTGTTTATATAAGTTTTGCTTCGTCTTAAGGTGTCTCCTTGAATTTCAAATTAATGTAACTACCGAAAGTTGTTTAAAAGCCAGTCAAAAACGCTTCAAAACGATTCGTATGGTTTTTGATTAAAATAGGAGACGCCTTAAGACAAAGCAAAAGTTATATAAACAAAACAACAAGATCTTTTTATTTGTTTATATAAGTTTTGCTTCGTCTTAAGGTGTCTCCTATCTTAATCAAAAACCAGATTGGCGATCTTGACTTGTGGTGCTTGATATTGACTTGTAATTGGAAAATAAAACTGAGACCTACGTAATTCAATGACCAGCGGTATTCCCTAATCCTAACGCTCGCGTAATTACGTTGCACGCATAGATGACGAAATAATCGAATTAACTCAGATTTTTGTCGTTGGAAAATTAATTTCAGAATTGAGGCTCAGTTGCTGTTACAGCGCGCTAATGTCTTTTTATTGTTTTTCAGGTTCCTCAAAAGCGAATCCCATTTCTCTCGATAGCGATGAAGAAATTGACCAATCAGAAACAGAAAAGCTAGAAAACGAAGAAAAACAAGATCCGTGTCATTGCCCTTGTAATTCTGCACAGATGTCGGGATCTCCTGAGAGTCAGCAGTTTTCTATCTTCAAGAATCGCTCACTCGAGAAGTCCATTAATCGTTTAAATCGAATTAGGAAAATAGAAAACTGTCTAGATTATTCGTTTTTAAATGCAAGTGCGTCCAAAGATTCTCAGAAAAAAACTGCTTCGTCTGTCCCATCAAGTTCTTCATTGATGGCTGCTCGATCAAACACTTCTAGTCCTGACTCTAACTTCACTACCGGCACTAAAACCTCATATTCTGCTTCGAATATTAATTTGTCTACTTTCCCAGATAGAAGTACCAATGATGTGCGATTGATCAAAGAAGCAGACAACAAAAAGCATGTTTGGAAACATAAACATTTACCGGTGTTAATGCGGAAGGAAACTGAAAGTAGTGATGAAACAGTCTCCTTAGAAGATTCCGACGATGATGGTGTAAGATGCCCCAAAAAGGGTAAAAAGTTGAGAAAAAAGCGCTTAATCGGACGACGAAAGCGGCCTACAGACTTAAAAAGCAGTGACACGGAATCATTAGAGGAACAGAAAGATAGTAGTGAAAGTGAGATCGACTCTGATGAACCGTTGGAAAAACTCCGTTCCCCTTCCAAAAAGGCACGACATAAGGCAGTGTCCACTTCAACGTCAAATAATTGCATTCAGGCTGATCGCGAAGAAGCCATGGTAAAAGATAAAAAGAAGTCGGCACCCAGCTTGTCAGGTGTAACTTTTATAGACGGAAAACGGCTAAGAAACAACTTGAATAGCCTAAAAGAATTTCTGAAAGAAACTAAAGTCAAAAACCAGGCCTGCGAAATTCTCAAGAAAGATAACAAGTCAAAAGACATCAGTCCTGAAGGAGAATCTCTTGAACTCGACGACTTGATAAAGCTTGAGTCTGAAAGATGCACCGATGATAAAACTCCTCGAATTTCAGGAGTTGGTCAGGTTGAAAATTTTCGCATCTTAAAAACTGAACTTTTCAAGTCCCTGCCAGATAGTAATGCTGAACGGTTGGGCGAGTTTTCTTCTTTACGAGGGACTGAAGCAGGCTCGAATGGAAAGTTGATCTCAGAGAGTACAGCCAACGACAATTTCTCTATAAAAAAGGAATATACTTGCAATGCAGTATGTAAATCTATAAAACAAGTAAATGATACACACCCGAATGATACAAAAGCTAACGAGGAAGTTATGTATAAATATAATGACAATAATACTGCTTCCTCTATCAATGTTTCCACAAGTCTTCAACAAGAAGATCCAAGTGAATTATATGAAATTTCTCTCAATGACATAAGCAATGCGTTGGAAAATAATGGAGGGTTTGATGACGATGAATGGTACAAACATGAAGACGAGTTGCTTCTCTCTGAGGAAGAGAAAGAAAATCAAGAAAGAGAGAATGTGCTCGAAGAACCGTCGGAGAGGGTTCTACTTGAGATTGAAGAGGAGTTAAGTGACGATCAATTGTTTGCACCATACTGCGAAAAGACAGAAAGAGGCCAAAATCAACAAGGTTCTAAGTTGATAAATATAGAAGCAGTTGCAATAGCCGAAGAATTAACAGATGAAGAATTATATACAGCTTATAAAACAGGAGATTTACAAAACTATCAGGAAAACAAAAACAATCTAAAACCTCTTTCCAACTTGGACAAGGGAGATTTGACTCGTGAAGATTTGATTGAGGCAAAAAATTTGCAAAAGTCGAAAAGTTGCGACGATGAGAAAAACGATGCTATGGAAGAAATTCATCTGGATTCAACCAATAGGGAGGAGGAAGATGGAAGAAATTTAAACAAGGAAAAAAACAAGGATTGCGCGAAAGGTCATACTGAGTTAACAATAGATGAATGTYGTTCTTTGAGCAGTCAAGAACGCATCGAGTCAGAAAGGCGCGTTGCAGAATTATTAGCTCAAATGGATCATAAATATGGAGATTTGAGCTCGGATAGCGAAGAAGGATCTGCGAAGACGAGGGGAGATGTCTTGCCAGTCTTAAAGCATACTAAAGATGGGGAAGGAATGAAGGAGAAGTTGTTCGAGGATTTGGATACCGAGGACCTTTGGGAGGATTACGACTGGGAAGGCGCAAATGTGATATGTTCCCAGGGGAGTGTTATCGATTCTATCCTAGAAGATACGGAGTCACTATCGAGTGACGAAGAGAAAACCAACGAAAGCCGAGATCCTTTCCTAAGTCCAGTAGCTGCAAAGCTTGGCACTAAGGATTTTGCACTAGCTGAAAGCATTTCCGAAGCACAAGCCAAAGTTCCTACTTCGCCTACATATAATCCCCTTGTGTCATCGCGGCCCATCTCTYCCACTGACTCTGTAACTGACTCTAGGACATCGAAAGATCCTTTCCAAGAAAAGCCAGCCGTTGTAGGCCCGAGTCCAATTTTCAAGCCAGATGCCATGTTTGAAAAGATTTTGTCTTGGCGCGTTTCGTGGCTTGACGCGCGTCGTGAAGAAAACGAACTATATTCAAATTTAGAAAGATTGGAGAAACTACCTAAGACATTTGATTCCATGAATGCTTACTGCCGCAGTTTTGCACCCATTCTTGCGGTAGAAGCATGGGAACAGGTGAGAGGACTGCGTTCATTATAACAGTTTTTTAAATAAGTCATATAGTCCTTTTGTTGTCGTTTTTTGCGGGACCGTGAAGTACAATTTTATATAGGGGGAGAGGAGAGTAAATTCAGGACTGATACTACCATGCACTCCGTCCTCGCGACATCCCGTCAAAACGGCCAACGCCGGAGCGAGAAAAAATAACCACTGTACCCCAGGGTAGACTTATACCAAACCCCTTAATGTTTCTCTGCCCGGAATAGGGTCTACTTCTTGCCCTTTCTTTCTCATTTTCTTCTCATCTCTTTATATTCGTAGGCCAGTTTCATCGTATTTGTATCCTATTTGTCTTACTTTTCCTATGTTTATAGGCCATCAAAGAATGGAAAGAATCCCACCAGAAAATGATCACTGCATTTGCGAAGGGTGTTAGTGTCAATCATAAATATACCACACTTACTGCTATGTCAATGAACGTTGGACACTCTGCAGTAATAAACCGCACTTTACCTGAAGAGAGCCAGCTTGTCATTTTAAGGTGTGAAGGATTCCGAATATTTGGTTTAGTGGACAAGGTAGAACAAGAAGTGGTTCGAGAAAGCGGCTCCACGAGTGGTGGTGTTGGTGGGTATTATGGCCGTTGTGCATAGTATTATGATACCTTAGTGTGTATGCAGGGGGTATCTAGGGGGTCCTTCCTACGGGTTTCTGTGATGTTGGTGTGTTATAGTATGACCGTTATACTTCTGGCATATAATGTGCAAGATAAAACTGACTACAAAACCTGCACCAACCTATTTAGAAATAGCTGTATGCCTTTTTATTTCGAATATAAAACACATAGAACAATACAACACCTTGATTACAATATAAGCTAGGACCCTAGACAAATCTTATGAAAGTAGGCCGAAACTATTTGCTTTAGTACATTTGCAGCTTTCAAATGTTGTATCCTCTGGAAAACTAACTTTTCATTAACAAACACAGGGGGCAGAGGGGGGCACTTACCTTCCATTGTTATATTATTTATCGCTGTACATATTGTGAGTAAGCTTGACCCCGTCAGATACCGCGCGCTGTAATGACGACCACGCGAGAGGGATAAATGAATTCCAAACGGCTCCAGTCGCTAATATCACAGGGAGCAGAGGGGGAACACTTATCTTTGGTAATATGTTTGCTTCCGTTAGGTGTAAGGCAGAGCGCGTTCATTTTTTTCCCTCTTACGTGGCCGTCAAGCAACCGTTAGGTAAGGCACAGCTCGCGCTCACAGCTCGGTTCAAGCCTACTCATATTATGCACAGCGATAAAATAACATAACAATGGAGGATAGGTGCCCCCCCCCCCTCCCTGCCTCCTGTGTTACAAAGATAAAAAACAAATTAGACTATGAACGAAAACATGCCTGAGAAAGTCTCTGAGAAACTCCAACCAGCGTTTAAAGCAGCTTTCGTCCAGGTATGTTGTTCGACACGAGACACGTAACACGATCGTCCAATTAATTAAATTCCCAGATTTTTTAAACCGGATGTCGAACAAAAGCATGAGTTTAAAGCAATTTTTCAAATACCTAAAGCTGGAAAAAAAATGCTCCTTTTTCCCTTGAAACTAATGACGAGATTAGAAGAATAGACCTTCTTTTACGAATATGTGAAGTTTGAAATGAAAGTGGACTAAATATCTTTTGTTTCTCCGCTTGAGAGTGGGAAGTTTATCGAGTAATTGTTTACGTTTCACTCAACGTTTCTTCTACCGGAAGTTCCTAAAACTCCTTTCGGTTCGAAATCATGAAATTTAGGATGTGAATGGACTAAGAATAAGTTAGTRAAGAATGCTCTATTGAAAAATCGGGGTCGACCACAGATTTTTTTTTTAAAGTGTATATCGTACTGCCACACACTTCGACGTCAAAAAGCAAAGAACTGTCCAAACCACTAGTTTTTTCCGAATTTCTGAATTGGAAATCGCCAAAAATTCAGACGAATTCCTTTAAAATATAAAGCAGTATGAGATGCTTGAAACTATTTTTCTGCCGCTCACTAGCCTGAAAACTGTGTGTTTACCAATGTGGGAATCCATCAATCAGTCGCGATTCAATATTTGACGAGCTGTTTGATTGGACAACTAGCTGTTGAAAGTGACAGCTGATTGACATCGCACTTTTTTGAAATGGTTTCCAGGTTGCCTTTAGTGCTTAAACAGTCAACAAATTTCGCTAGATTTTTGTCTTTTATACAGCTAAAAACGGTTGTAATTTGTAAAAAGCTAGTTACTCAAGGTAACAACGAGGAATCTTTAGACACCTACATCGAAATTGGACTCGTAAAAGTGTATAAAAAATCTCAAAAAGGTGATGTTAGCTAATTAAACCAAGTCGTCAACTATTAATTTTTGAATTTTTAACTGGTTGAACTATGAGAAAACGTCTATATTATCTTCATAAGCTTTGTCTCTAAAGTACAAACGACTCCAAATCACAATATGGTCTTTGTTTTCTTCATAGAAAATGTCAGTCACGTTTTGTCCGAATTTGAGAATTTTGTTGAATATTAAAACGGCTTTGCTGTTGATTTCTTTTCGGTTTGTTTGCAAAATCTTTACTTTTTAATGTATCATCAGAAATACTGTAACAGTACCTTCAGAAACTTTCCCCAGAAACTAAATTTCTTGAAGTTTGAAAGATTACTTGAAGCTCTGTAGAGTTCAGTAGAGCTCTGTACATTACGGCAGTCAGGCAGTTTTTACCTATTGTTCTTTGCTAGCCCGTGTCGCACACCACCTGGTTTCGTCTGAGTGTAAAAAGCTCGCGCCACGAACAATGTCGTGGCATGCGTAAGGCATACGCCAGRCCAATCAAATTGCGCGAGAATTTACCATCCATCCAATCAAATACCCCAAATCTTACATGTAAACAGCGTGTAAACGGTCAAGCCAAGGTTACCAATCACATTGCGCTAGATAAAAAATAGCCAATCAAAATTCTAGAAAAGAACACGATCGCGGAAAGGTACGCATGCGGCACCGAGCTTTTTACAGTYATAAAAAATCTGCTCTAAAAGAAATATAATATAATATGGTATGACAAAAGCATTAACGTTAATCCAATGGAAATGGGTTATCATATCATCCTTTTGGATTTCAGGTGGATCTAGTGACAAAAAATATAACGTAAAATTTGTAATACGAACATTACGAATGGCAAATTTTCGCCCTCCTGAGTCTTCAGAGCTCGAGATAACAGTTGTCGCATCACTTCTTACCACCCTACGAAGATGGTGCGGATTGGTTAACTTTCACCAGAGCCTGTTAGCCAGAGACATACTAAGGCCAAGAAGGCAGATTTATTTTTGTCAAAGCGAGATTCCAAAACAAGTCAAGCCCTCAAAAGTAAGCGGTAATTTATATTCGTAAAAGAAGAAGTTGTAGTAAGATATTTTCAACTCAGTTGCTTCCATTAATAAAGTTGTACTTGTATGACGGCATGAACCGCTGACCAGCAGCCGAAACCTCGAACCCGCGCGCCTTGTTGAGACCCGCGCTCTCTTACATCTATGCCACCTATGATGCTTCACAAACTTACCAATATATATCAACCATCACTTCCCAACTAACCTTCCCTTCTACCGACCTACCAACTCAGCTACCAACTTTACGACCAATCCCAACAAAATGATAGAACGCCATGCACGATCAAGGAGGTTTTTAATATAAGAAATTATGAAGGAACCCCAGAACAATATGATTCCTACTGATCTTTCTAAGTCCTACGTAAAGTAAGCATGAGAAATTGAGTTTTGCCTTTTTTTAAAAAGCTGTACAATGAGTCTCAAGCAAGGGTCATCCACACAGCAGCCGAGGCAGTACATCAAGCCTACGCCTTACCAAGGATCTGCCTGGTACAGGGCCCCCCCGGAACCGGCAAGTCTCATACTATCGTTGGTATCGTATCAAGTATATTAAATGTAAGCCGGTTCACAGTTTTAATAACATCTTTACAATAGCGCAGGATATCTGTACTCGCTGCTCRAGGCTTTCTATAGTTATATTTAGAATAGTTGTATACACTCAAATGAAGAATCGTTGTCGGGTTCAGAAACATAGAACATAAAAGCTGAGACCGAAATAGCACATGGGAAATGACATAATTATATTATAATTTATTCATTTGCGCCATCCATGCAGTCGGTTTAGAATGCCAAACGCGTATTCAGAAGAATTCGCATTTTTAACAAATACACCTTCAAATCAACTATGACTGTTTGGAAAATAGGGACATTTCTTATCTCGTATCTATCGAACGTATTCTTGTTTTTCTGTTAAGTACCTTCAGCGCAACGTTAACAACCTCCATGGTTTTAAAAACAGTGGATGATGGCACGGGTCGCCGGTCACAGCATGCATCTAATTAACGTACTTCCCTTGTGCCATTCCGCTCTCCGCTTCTATGTTCTGTGTTTCTGAACCCGATTCTGATTCTGACAACGATTCTTCAATTGAGTGTATAGAGCATAGTTATACACTTATTTCAATRAAGTTAGTCACCTGAAAGGCTACAAACTGAGACCGACAAGGAATATGGTAGATACATTTTACATGTTTCAACCGCTTGATAACTGTTGATGGACTTGAGTTCTTCTACCAATTACAAGTTCACCTCCTCGGAGCATCCTCAACTGCTACAGCTTTTTACTTTTTGGATATAAAACATTTCCCCATGATTCTCAGCGATCACAGCTTTCTAGGTTTTTGGTGACTAACTTTATTGAAATGAGTATATTCAAAGATTATACTTATTCATTTGTCTCACGGTTGTGGCAGTTGAGAGGACCGCGACGTTTCGACTGCTACTGCTAGTCTTCATCAGGCGATGGAGTAGACTRGAAGGTGGTCTTCTTCATATCCACGATCAATCTTTCTTATTTTATAGTATTATTGTTAGATTATATTATCAGTTATTTTCAAACATTTTGTATTATTTTACTAAAAGTAAGCTAAAAAAGGATAGAGATTACTTCTTGTGTTAAAAAAGCGATACGTTTTTTTCCAGCATCCCAAGGCAAAAGAGTCATCTCAAGTACATTCAGAGTTGTTCTCAGAGAAACCAAGAATTTTGTTGTGCGCTCCTTCTAACGAGGCCATTGATGAGCTGATCAGGAAATTCATCCAAACAAAACCAAAAAGGGAAAACATGGAATCGAACAAAGAAAATAGAAGAGCCGCAGATAAGAATAGAAATGCTAAAGGTATAGTGTTGCGGATAGATATCAGAAACATAATTTTATCAGAGATTCGCATAATATTAGACCTTCTTGTCAACCTTTTGTTCATTCGTTCGTCCGTTCGTCAAGTTTCGTTTGTTTTTTCGTTTGTTTGTTTGTTTGTTTGTTTATTTGCTTGTCTTAATTTAAATTTTTCATTTCATTGCTCGTGAAGGTGAAAATTTCAATAACTGCGGAGACTTTTGCTTGATTCGGGTGGGACGAAAGTCCAAGATTAGCGAGTCAGTAAAGCACCTGAGCTTAGAAAGTATGACTCGTCGTGAGATGGGGAGACGGTATTCTGGACCGGAAGAACACAGTGCTTGTAATATCAGGGACCAGCTAAAGCTGATAGAAGAATCAATAGATACAGTCGAAAGGAAGAGGTACATTCTGACGAAAGAGGAAACTGCAACTGCAACTGAGGAAAACCTAAAAGAAAGCAAGGTATTGAAATAACAGCTGGGGGTCTAATTGTTCTTTTGAGTCTTGTCTTCTACGCAGCGAAGAACAATCAGTGTTCGATATAGCGCTAAAAAAATGGGCACCCGTTTCATCTCCGACTAAAACACTCAGACTAATTTCGTCATATTCGTCGCGCGGCCATGCCTGGGCACCACAGTCTAAGAAACGACTTCGTTGTGTGGCTCGTTTCAGTTACCAAACAGATGTGCTTCTCTGCTTATGATACGATTAATTCTTCACTTCCGGTCCGTTAAAATCTATGGCTTGCGGGGAGTTGACTTGCCGGGGAGTCGAAATCCATGTCAAGTGGTGAACAAAAATCGTTTAGAGGAGGGAGAGAGTTCAGACACCGCAGACTTCTCCCTTGTATCAGAGTGCCGGTTAACCTGTGGAGAAACGTGGGAAGTTTGGAATTTTGTTGGTGGCTGGGACATCAAACGTTTTCCTAAATATTCCTCCCCTTATTCTACTGTCATTTTTTACTTAATTGGTAATATTTGTTTGTTTAAATTTTATTCCAGCTACAAGAATTAGAAAAGGAAACATCAAATCTGATCTCACAGAAAAACGACATGGAAAGGCACTACTACAACCAGAGGGAGAAGGAAAAAGGGCAGAGAAGAATGGAAACTCGCATTAAAAAGGAGATATTAAATTCTGCCGATGTCATTTGTACTACTCTCAGCGGAAGTGGAAGTACTTCATTGCTTAATGATTTGAGAGGAGTCAACGGGTAAGAAGAACACAGGAAGTCCAGTTAATGTCGTTTTTTATCTCCATCTGACCCTTCCAGCCCTTTTATCAAACGCATATTTCCCTCTTTTTCATATACTTCATTTTTTAAGTTTCTGTTGTTGACATATTTAGTAACAATAATTTTTTTCCTCAAATTACAGGAAGAAAATTCCATTTTCGTGTGTCATCGTGGATGAGGTTCGTGTTATAACATTCTTTCATTATATGTGAATTCATTATATTAATTCACAATGCTCGTTGCAYCCTTGCATTATTCAACAAGTCGTTAGATCTGATTGGAATTTCAGTGGATTGTCTCTTTGTTCTCCGGTAATGTTTGTTAAAGGTGTATTAGTGAGGAGGGGGGAGTTGGTGAAGCTCAAACATAAGAACCATTTGTTAAGATATTTACCGAACGGGAAAATAAGTAAAGGGTGTGCGTTCCTTCCCAAGGGAATAAAAGGACAAAATAGATAATTTCCATGATGGTGGACATGACAAAAAATCAATATCTTTTCGTATCAACAGGCCTGTCAGTGCTGTGAGCTGGATGTCCTCATTCCCCTGCAGTATCATTCTACCAAGTTGATTCTTGTTGGTGACCCTGAACAGCTTTCAGCCACAGTTATCTCTCGAGTAAGTCATCTTGCATTGAAACTCTATTCTTGTTCTATTAGTTTCTTTCGAGGACAAATACCTATAAGCCGTTGAATCGTTTCAGGATGCCAAGCATTTGTTATATGGAAGGTCTATGTTTGACAGACTTTACAGAGTCTTTAAGCCAATACGAAGTAAGTGAATGTATGAAAGCATGAGAGCAAATGGGCTATCAACAGAAACATCTCTTAAGCGAATCACAATAATTTAAAACTGAAAAAGAACGAGAAGGAAGGAAGGAAGGAATGAAGAAATGAAGAAAAAAGAAAGAAAGGTAGGAAGAAAGAAAGGGAGAAAGAAAGGTAGGAAAGAAAAAGTAAAAGGAGGAAGGAAGAAAGAACAAAAGAGAGAAAGAAAGGAAGAAAGAAAGAATTGAAAAGGAAAAAAAACAGATTGGATAATATGTATATAAAATCTAATTGTGTATTCCAACCTTGATATGAAAGTCAGTACTGAATATTTCTTGCATGGTTTTTTAGTGCCTACTACGAAGTAGTAGACACTATTGTCATCGGGTTGTGTAAGTAACTCTGTCACGCGTAACTATCAATTCAATAAACAAAGCATATTTTCATAGTTTATACCACAGGGACCCCAATTTAGATTAAAGTGAATGGTGAAAATATATTTTTTTTAAATTCGAGATTACATATGAAGTAGAAGAGATCTCAAGGGACAACTGGTCTAAGTCTGGGAGAACATTGTGGCTTTTTCATCAGGCGAGAAAACGAGAAATACGTTCCTCAAAATATGACCGCCATTTTGTTTCAGTCACGCAACAGTTGCACAAAATGAATCGGCATAACACAGGAAGCCCAAATTACACCGATGTAGATGATCATGAAGTATTTCATTACTTGTCTTATACCTGTTAATCGCCATAAATAATCACATATGAAGTAGAAGAGACATTACTAATGGACAACTGCAGCATAATCTCCAGCCAAATATTTCCCTGTACGGCCCTCCCACACGGCCAATAAGTGCTAAATATCAACATTCATATTAGCAAAGCAAAACCATCTAGACTAAAAACACTACTCCTACAATAATATTTCGAAACATTTTCTGCTGAAAAAGGCTTCCTCACCTATTACTTCACTCCAACTACATGACAAATTTGTGAGAATTTGTGTGTCAAAAAGAATCTACAAGATCAGTGATTTTATCCGGTTTAATATACATCAGCAAATATGAAAAAATTAATCAATGAAAGAAAAAACATGAAGTAATGCAACCCATAAAACTACTATACTATTGGTACTCGCTGTGTAATGGCCGTGCAAACACACACAAAAATAATGGAGTTAGAGTTTATCACTATCCAAAAAGTAGTAGGCACATGCGCTTTATAAGCGCCTTTTTTTTTTATGAGCATTTCATTTATTTCAGGGAACGAACGACCAGTCCATCTTCTCAGTACTCAATACCGAATGCACCCAGAGATAGCACTCTTTCCATCCAAGCACTTCTATAATGATAACATCCACACGGACAGGTAAATTTGAAACATCGTTATATTGACCCTTGCCTAAAGAGGTTTAGAATTCATATAACACCGCTGTCGTTATTGACGGTGGGTCAGTCTCAATCCAGTGTAAAAAAATATATTCGAAATTACAGAAACGGTGAAAAAAAAACTGCGCATGGCATGCTCGGAAGTTCATAGACGAGTCTTGTTTACAAACAAAACCATTGGAGATTTACCGGCGTTTGCATTATGCAAATTTCCCTCGTATTATTTGACCAGGGTCGAAAAAAACGAAAAGTAATGTAATAGGAAAAATAATAAGCACTAATTTTACACGAACGACTTTTTACAAAACGCCAGTAAACCTCCACTGTTTTATTTGTAAACACGACGCGTCTATGAATTTCCGGCGTGAATTTATAAAAATGGATTTCATTTTACATCCGGCATGACACAGAGTTGACTACTTCACATTGCGCGTGCGTCAAATGCCGACATTGACAACAACGAACAAAACCCTCCGTCATTTCCAACCATTAGATTGGCTTATGATTTTATTGTGGATTTTAGACGAATGAACCACTAAGCCGCTTTAATTTTCAAACTGCAAATAATGATCCGAGATAAATAAAAATTTGATCGGAAACAGAAACAATAAACAGTGTTTCTTTTTTAGCTCTCTTGTAAAACGAGTTTTTCCTGTCAAGTTTCCCTACGCGCTCTTTGATGTTCATAGAGGAAGAGAGACGAATGATAACGGAGGGTAAGTCTTGCACCATTTTGCCTCTCAAGGCTTTAAAGTGGTAGAAGAAAAACCCAAAAAGGATCCATATAGTTGTATTACGACTCGTAAGCTGCTGTTTGCATTACAGGGTCATGTACTGAAGAGTGTTCCTTGCCAACTTATTTTGTCAGTTGGCGACAGTTATCATGTATTTTCCCACGCGCTGATTGGCTTGCTACCTTTTTACCTTTCGATGACAAAGCCACGCGCTTGAAAGAAATCTCCATGAAATTCTTTAGGAACGATATAAAGCGGCCGATTGCTTCTCTCGCGTTTTACAGCTAGTACCAGCGTGTTTGTCATGATGCAGTACAGTTCAGAGACACGCGCCCCGGGCTTTTTATGTTGCTTCAACAAAAGATAAACTAAGATGTTTGATTTAACCATTGCAATGATAGGTCTATATCAAACGCAAAGGAAGCAGAGCTGGTTTCCTCTTTCTGTCATTTCCTGGTCGTTACCCTTGGTCTTCATCCAAGTGATATCGGAATCATTACACCATACCGAACACAACGGGGCAAGCTWCAAGCTCTTCTTAGGTATGTGTTATATCCCTGCTATATCCCAATACCACTAGCGAAAGATATCTTAACGTACGTATTGCACATTATTTCCTCAACCTTACCAGTTGAAACTTGCATGAGCATCAGGGTGTCTGTTGTCGTAGGTATTGCATGAGCATCAGGGTGTCTTGTCGTGGGTATTGCATGAGCATCAGGGTGTCTTGTCGTGGGTTTTGAATGAGAATCAGGGCGTTATAGCTTGGTGTGATTGGTCATGCTTGAGCATCAGGGTGCTATAGCGTGAGGTCATGGATCATGCATGAGCATCAGGGTGTTATAGCTGAGGTCATGGATCATGCATGAGCATCGGTGTGTTATAGCTTGTGGTCGTGAATAATGCATGAGCATCAGGGCCCTGTTGTTCAAAGCTCGATTAGCGCTAATCCAGTTTTGAACAACCCGGCCCAGGGTGTTATAGCTTGGTGTGGTTGGTCATGCGTGAGCATCAGTGTGTTATAGCTTGTGGTCGTGAATCATGCATGAGCATCAGGGTGTTATAGCTTGAGGTCATGGGTCGTGCATGAGCATCAGGGTGTTATAGCTTGAGGTCATGGGTCATGCGTGAGCATCAGTGTGTTATAGCTTGAGGTCATGGGTCATGCGTGAGCATCAGTGTGTT